GGGTTATATTGACTGGATCAAATTATTGTGGGGGTCATAACCCCTTTAACCCCCCTGCAAATTACGCCTATGGTCAAGAGCGTTAAAAAATTAACTTCAGTAACTTTAAAATGTATTTTCAAGGAAGTCATTTCAAAAAAATGTTTTTAATTGCCTTGTAGTTTGAAAACTCAACTAATATTTTTATCCCACCTCTAAGTTTTGATATAATAAAGGTTGGTCTTCTAACAGGACATAAAAAAATCAATCCTTTTGGCAAAATTTTCTTTTCACTAATGTCATTTTTTTGAAGTTATCCCCATGTTCAACTTTTTTTTTATTTAAGAAAGTGCTAAATCATTGCAACAACAAAAAGCCCAATCATTACACCAATAATAGTAAAAATCTAATTTGAATGTTAAAAGTCCTCTTGAGATGTTTATATATACAGTATTTTTGGTGTTTTTTTGTATTTTATCAGATTGTTCTTTACTTTTCTGCTCAGTTTATTTGTTAAACTGTATTTTATTCAGTTTGTAAATTATAGTGTTTTGAAAATACATTCATACCATTAAATAAAGTTCTATAGTTAATCCGAAAAGTACTCAGCTATCTGGTGTTCATAATTATAATCTTACCTTTAAATGCAGCGAAGCAGAATCATATACTAGCAGAGGAAGACACTAGTGGTAAAATGACAAACAGGTGAAGGAAGCAGAAGTGAAAAGTTATGAATAACACACAAAAAAGTCCCGGAAACACAAATACAAAATGTCACACTCAAACCAGGAAACCAGAAAATACAAATGAACAAATAAATAAATAAAATAAAAAATGCCACAGGTTCAGTGCACTACACACATGCAAGTCTTTATTTTTGCTAGTCCAACACACTTTTGTCTTTACCACATTGTTCATTTATAGCTGGATTTAAAGCTTTACAAAAAAGAAAGAGAAAACCAAATATTTACAAAATCTATCTGTGCAAACATGTTTTTTTCTTTTACATCACTCTCCTAAAGTATTTAAAAGGCATGCATACAAATAAACTTTGGTATGTTAACAAAACTACTTATTTTCTTAGTAGAAGCATTTACTTTATGTACATGTGGTTGAATCAATTAGTCATTTTTCAGTACAGGTTACACTGAGAGCAACAATATGTGTTAACAAACCGAAACCAGCAGTACAACCACTGAGGGTTGACACTTCAGCCTCACCAAGAGAGTGCACGTAATGTCCTCTGATGTCCATGATAGTTAGGCATGAAGTGAGTTATTATACAACAACTTTGGCAAATAAGCACATTAAAAAAAAGTTCATTCTAACAGCTGTAATTTAGTCAAATAAAATGGCAGTTCATATGGGTGGAAAAAATACTCTGAGAAATTTAAAGATAGTACTGAGAGTAACTTTAAATGTGTGCACACATTTTGTAAAAATTCATTTAAGACATTTACAAGCGTTTGAATGTCTGTCAACTCCGGAAATATAGAGGATTAAATATTCTAATTATTCAATTTCTGCTTTCAAAATAAAACAATGTACATATTTTGTGACTGTAAAGCAACTCTATAGTCCCTACCCTAACTACAACAGGAAAATATTTTTCAGCACAATAAAAGCCTTTCACTTCAACTACAAAATAAAAACAAAAAAACTATAGGTATGTTTTTGTTACATTATCAGATATTGTCATAATTTCTTGCACACCTTTAAGAAAAAAAAAAACAATGTGTGATCCAACATTTGAAAAAGAAGTGAAGATGAGAGTGAATAAAAGCAGTGTGCGAATGCCAGTGTCAAATAAAATGTGAACAATGTTTAATACTTTTAAAGTAAAAAAAAAAATACAATAAAAAATAACAAAAAGGGAACAACCCAAACCAAAACTATTTTACATGAAACAAAATCAGGTCTACCTGGGGGGGGGGCAAAAATGAGGCTAAGTTGTGTCCTTAGCGGCTGTGGCTGATGGGATGCTGGATTTACCGTTGCTGCCGTTGTGGGACCTGTAGTTGGTGAAGCTGGGGGTGTGTATGGTGCGGATGCTCTTTCCACCTGGGCCCAATGGTGTGGGTGACAGAGGGGAGGGGGAGAAAGAGGAGGAGGAGGAGGAGAATGAAGAGGAGGAGGAGTGCACTCGACCATTCTGAGTCTGTGAGGAAAACGACAGAGTTTTACCTGTGTGCTGTGAAGGTGAGGGGAGTTTAAGGGATCCGTTAGACAGTGAGGGGATATGGGAGGAGGGGAGGGAACCGGAACGAGGAGCATGAGAGGACAGGATGGAGGACTTTGTTGCAGAGGGACAGGAGGAGGAAGACGGGTTAATGGGATTATTAGTAGCATCTGAGTTTTGCGCAGACTGGGAGCTGCTTTTAGCAGAGCTAGGATAAAAAGCAGGGATTTTAGAGATGGGTATAGTAGGGGAAGTAGTTTTATGATCCCCTCCCACTCTTTTAGCACTTCCGTTAGCCTGCAAACAGATGCCAGAACAAACACTTGCTGTCAAAATGAAAACTGGTAAAATAATACATGTAAATAGGCAAGGCGATGTTAAACAAAACTAAAAGTTATTCACATAGACAGTATGACTGAACAAACATATATATTTCTAAAGTACTACTACAGTAAAAGACACCAAAAAACAAATATAAAGGGTCTGTTTTTCCACTAGGAATGTGAAACATCTTAAACCGAGAGATATGTTACCAAGAAAAGGAACACTGCAAAGGTTAGACAGCGTGAATGCAAACAGGATTTCCACACCACATGTCTGTGTTAGAGGGAGTGTTAGGCCTCACGAGGGGCTGTGGCAGAAAACGGAGAAGCCAAAGATGCACACAAGAAAACGAGTGAATTGGAAAACAGCATTAGGGTTTTGAAGAGTGGCAGCAGACAGGGGAAATGTGAACTCGGATGAGAGGGTTATGCCAAGGTCCTGACGGGAAGGAAATATGCTTCACCGTGGGGTTAACGAAGCTGAGCAGCAATGTTGGGTTTGAGCAGAGTTGCAATGTGAGAAGGGAGGAGGCAAAAACAAGTCGGTTAAATCTGTATGTGTACATTGCCAAAAGAGCCGGAGGAATTGGCGACACTGTTTAGGAACTCAGCTGTGATGGGAACTGGAGATGTGATGGGAACTCAGATGATGACAGGACAGGATTCCACTTTTCTTTGCCCTTTTTTTTTCCTTTTTTATTTAGCCACCAACACAGTCAAGACCATGAGCAGTGTGGACATGCAGAAGCGTACAGTACAGTGATGTTATGGGGTAACAGTCAAAAGTCAAACATGCCTTTGTGTCATTGCAGACTCAACAGAAACAAGAACAGATCCACAGTTGCCACTGTGGTGACTTTATTTTTTTAAAACACTTGACATCTCACAGCTTTTGTAGTCTTTTAATCCCCCTTATATGCTTCATGCTTTCGATTTCCTATTTGTCTTTCCTCTAGTTTCTGGTAAAACCCTACATTAAAACTACCTGTCGGAACTGCCTCTGACCGTCCTGCAGTTTTTGCTGTTTTCCTGCTTTTTCAGATGTAGCCGGGGACTGCCTGGACTTTGTAGACAAAGGAATGGGCATCCGACTAGTTGGGGAAGCGACACTCGTGTTCTGCAAGGGGATCCAAATGAAAAACAAAACAAGAAATAAAAAAAGGTAGAAAAAACACACACCACATAGGAAGTATGAGAAGTCAAGACATGAAATATATATATATTTGTTTGTTTAAACACCTCAACAACACTAGTGAAAGACCATGCATCCAGTAGGAACATCAACTTTAGTACATGCAGTGAAGAATAAGGAAGTAACAAGAACATCATAAAAATGTCTTTGAAGACCGGTGTGCCATTTGCTGAAAACCTCAAAGTTTCAGCAATGAATTGCAGGAGAAAGATGATAACCAGGGACCCAATAAAATGCCACCCAATCATGTCACCATGATTCCACAGAGGCGGAAAGCCACTGGGGTATTTTCCAACATTTCTGAGCACCCGTGAAGTGGATTAATGACTTTATAATTTCAGTGGTTAGGTTTGGAATGAAGGTAGGTTGAAAAGTTAGACAAAACCCCAAAGTCTCCTGGAACAACAAGAGCTAGAGAGAGACCTGTTGTATGTTGCTGGGTACACTGAGGGCAGTGGTGGTGTTGGTGCTGGTAGAAGGAAGGACTTTGGGACGAGGAAGAACCTGAGGTTTAGTCTTCTTCTGCAATGAGCTTTTGCTGGCTACTTTCGATGTTCTGGAGTTAGGGAGAGAGGAAGACCTCTTCAGCCCAGCTCCTTCTGAGCTTTTCCCATGACTTGCTTTAGAGTCTTCAGTGCTGACTAGCTCGTCAGGGGAGCATGGTCCCATCTCACTAATAGTGGTCTCCAGCTGCTTTATGGTCTGTTCAAGACTGTCCAGAGTTTTGTAGGTGCTTTTTCGAATCTGATCTGTCCTGCAGACATTGTCTGAATTCTGCCACTTTTGTGTGGTAGGTTCTGATCCCTTGGAGGTTTCTGCAAATGATTTTGAGCGTGTAATTTCAAATCTCTTTGCTTCTTTGTGATGCCGAACTGTGCCATCGCATTCTTCCTCATCTTCATACACCACCACCTGTAGAGTCTTCTTTCCAGGCTTGGTGCTAGTTCGAATTGCCTGTGTCAGTGCTGACAGCTGTTTCTTTGGAAACTTAAACTTGAACTTCTTCTTGTCCTGTTTGGCATCTCCATTTGACTCTGCGTTCATTCCGCCGTCTGTTAGTTCTGATATTGAGGATGTGGATGAGGATGATGACCTGGTGGTATCTGCAGTACTCTGTGAGGAGCTGACCATTTCTCCATCAGCCAACTCAGCACCTCCAGCTTTTGCTGGAAGCCCACCACTCCTCTCGTTGTCCGACTCCTCACTCTCCTCTTGGATGGACTCTTCAGCAAGCATTTTCTCAAGTTCCTCCTCACATTCGAAGATGGTGGATAGGCGTTTGTAAGCTGAACGGATATCCATTGGTTCGTTAAAAATGATGATGACAGGCTTCTTGTTAAAGCCATTATCCTGTGGCAATGTAGGATCAGCAGTGTCATTTGGTTTCTTTCCTGCACTGCCTACTGTAACCGTCTGAACGCTCCCTTTCTTGGCACTAACCAGTTCTTGGTACTCTCCACAAGACAGGGCCTGAACCTTAGTGTTAGTAATCATAAACGCTATGTTGTCTGGGGGCGGAGGTGCTTCTTCTCCAGGTAAGTCTGGACTAAGACTAGCTCCTTCATCACCATCTTCAAGAATAACCCTAGGTTTATCACTTTTATTACCTGAAGTTTTTTTGGATGTTGGAACAAAAGGTTTAGGGGCCTCCTTAACAGGATTGGCTGTTGTGGTCACCACTTGCTCAGGCACAAATTTTTTATTTATGGGAACATGCCCTGAATTCATTTTGATTTTCTTATCAGTTTTTGTTTTGCTGACGATTTTTTCCTTCTGAATTTCTGCACCAGTCTTCAAGGATTCGGCACGTTTAACTTGCTTCCGTGGCAGTTTGAATCCATTGAGTCCAACAGGTTTAGGTGATATAGGTGGAGGCGTGACTGCAGAGGGTGATTTGGGTGGTGGAGACAGAGGCGGCAGTTGCTGTTGCTGGCTTGAAGATTTGTCAATAACAGTGACATTTGACACCTGTGTTGGAGGTTGTGTGGGCTCTCTGTTTTCTGGGATGCCCTCCACTCCTGATGGGGGTGGCTGATCTTTGGGAATCTGGCCAGTCACGTAGTATATAACCTGCAAGACAAAATAACATTTGTGACTGCTTTTTAACTTTGAAAGTCCAAAATGTACAGCAAAAAACTGTGAACAGAATGTTAGGATATAAATATCATACATACCCCTGGGCTCTGTCGCATAGTTGTGTTTCCGTTTTCATCCGTTTCTGGATCTTTATCTTCTCGACTGGATTCTGAGCTCTGCTAGGACAATGTGTGAGGGAATAATATTACTGTGCAACTGGTTTACGAAGTTGCAGCAGATTAACTCGGAATTATGTTAATTAGTCAATTATAATTAACTCTGAAAAATGGCTGCAGAAGCAATCATCTAGTGTCAAAACTGACAATTATTGTAAATATTGACAGTTGTTTTATACTGTATTATTATTTTTTTCTTACTGCTCTGATAATAAATTGTATATAAAATGTATGCAGGACAAATAAATGCATTTATCTCTTACAGAGCTAAAATTATCCTCTTTCTACTTCATTAATTTCTAAAAATCTACAACTGTATTCCAATTTTGGTTACGCCGTTTTAATTTGGCATTTTTTAACAAAGTTTTAACATAATTCCAGCAACATTACTTTATGTCTAAATGTTGAACATTGTATTATTTACCAAAAACAGAAGCTTAAACATGTGATACATCTCCAATTTATATAAATCTGACAAAGCTGTTTTGAAAAAATGACTTTGAATAGAATAAAACTTGTAGCTGGATCAGCTACAAAGGTGTGAAGCTTGGAAAAACGGAGGTGAAATTGTGCAAAGACAAAGAGAAATTGAAAAAAATTTTTTTCAGAAAATAAGGGAGGGAGAAGAACATGCAAAGTGGTCAGACTGACCTTTGATGAACCAAGTCTGCAAAAACACATTGTGTCTACAAACGTGAGTTTTAACTATGTTGATTATCTTAATTAATAAAAAACAAACCCATACTGTATATATACTGTTGATTTTGTATGAAGATTGTCATCAAAAGGAAGACACGAGACAATTTATTTGCCTGTAAGATAAGTTACAGGTCTTTATTGGTTTGGAAGAAAAGACAAATGATTAAATCAGTTTTCAGAAACATCGTACAAAAGACACAGCAGCTTTTCAGAAGCTCAATTTTATGCAGACTTAATCCTGTCAAGAACCCAGCGGTGAAATCCAGCAGAATCAAAAGGAGTAGGGAAAAAATGAGGAGGTAGGGAAAGGAGTGTTGTGGAGGCAGCCGCTATAGGATTTTTAAAAATGTTTCTCTTGAGCCAAAGCAAGAGCACAGGGGTTGTATAAGCATTAGGACAGCCATTGATTGTATCAAACAGTAGGTAGAGGCAGGCAGTTAGCTGGGCAGCTGCATGACGGCATATATGTTACCTTTTTCTCTTTGAGCGGTAACAAAGTTCCTGGTCTTAATTCTTTGATTTGAGGTTCAATTCGAGTAGTAGATTCAACCAAATTTTTCACCCCTACATCCTTAACTGTGCACTTCTGGAAAACCTGAAGAGTGGAGAGAGGCCAGAGGGACATAGGGACAAAGGTTTTGAGGAGGACTCTTTAGACCACTGCCACCAGTTGTTCAAATCTAGTGGGCTGCCAAGGAGGATCCTCTTTTGGCAGCTGTCAGCCTTTGCCACTTCCAAGGAAATCAATCACCACAAGAAAAGATGAAAAGCAACAGACTCCCGCCCACAACACAGACTTGAATCACCCTTAAATCCATTGACTAGATTTGAATATATTTGATAGGATATGTATGAATGTTGGTGTTTCTGTGCAGCTCACCTGGAGCTCCGCCATGATCTTATCCCCTTCATCCTCTTCTTCTCTGGTATCAGGAGTGACGAGGGGAGGTGTGGCAGGTTTTGGCTTGATCTCCGGGACAGCCTTTGCTGGTTTTGGTTGGGGAGAGGAAGGTGGAGCATCCTCCTCACCCTCCTGTAAAAAGTCATGCTGACTAAATTAATTATTTCTTGCTGCAAAACCATAAAATAAGGCAGCGAAGTTATTCAAATGCTAGCATCACAGTGTTAACTAGCGTTGAATTGAACAAAGGACCAGGAGTTATATGGGAAACTTGTAACCACTTTTACATTACAATAATCCAAGTACAAGGGCAACTTATTAGTAGGAGGTGTTTTTTTAATATTTAGGCAATTATTTATGTATATTAGCCTAATCCATAGTCTTTAATGAGCTAAGCTACTCCATGCAAACAGGCCTGACAATGATCCTTTTACAACTTCCTTCCTCACTGACCTGTGCTGAAATGCTCTCCTTCCTGGTGGTGTACACCACCTCACCAGAACGAGCCGTCGTCATTCCTGAGCTGGAACTAGTGAAGGTTTTCCTCGGAGGAGGAGGTGGCGGAGACTTATTGGCTTTATCAGACCCCTGTTTGGACAAACTGTCAGCTTCTGGCTTGATGGCAGCTTTTGAGGGTTTCTCCATTGACGGCTTAGCAGATTTCTCCATCAGAGGTTTTGGGAGTTTCTCCAACCCCTTCTTAAAGGGTTTGCCTAACAGAAGCTCCTCTGTCATGCAAATTAGTAAAAATGTGTAGAAAAAAAAGATATGTTAATATGATTTACTGATGCACATAATGAGATTTTATGTACATTTTTTGTGGTTACACAAAGTTTGATTGGTACCTGACAGTGGCTCGACGGGGCTGGGAATGTTTCCTTGCTCTACAATCCCAGCAGAAGGTAGTAGCTGGTTTTCTTCTACCCCTAGGTTTGGAATTCCCTTCATCATATTGGCCTGGGCTTCTTGAAGGATCTTCTCAAACTCCTTTCCATCATAATGACCCATGTTCTGCCTTTTCTCCTCCCACTCCTTCTCTTTAGCCTGCAGGTAAAAAAGAAGTAAAAAAAACATAAAAGAGCCTCAAACTTCTCTGAGCAGTAAACTGACCCTTTTCAGTAAAAAAAAAAGAAGACAAAAAACACAATAGATTTGAGATTTTGGTGAATTTCATTTTTTTTTTTTGTTATTTGCTAAACATACCTCTATGGAAACAGCTCTGTTTTTATTTTTATCCTGACTGTTCTGTAGCTCTTCTATAACAAGATCTTGATGTGGAGTGCCGTTCCCATTATTCACACGTTTCCCATACGTCTTCTTTTGGTGGACAGGACTCTGTGGATCTGAAATAGCTCCTTTGGGATCCTCCAGCCCATGAGTCTTGTTAATGTTGGGGCTGGGCATGAGAGTGGGGCTGGGGGTGAGAGGAGGACTAGGCTGAGTGGTGAGGGCTGCAGACTGCTGAGACGGCTGCATGTGAACTGGAGAACTCTGGACATGATGGATGACCACAGGGGAGGAGGGCATCATCTCGGATCTGATGGTGGAGTTCTGGGGCTCAAGTGGGGCTGAAGTCGAGCTAGGCTGGACTGATACAGGGGGAGCTTCTGCAGTAGCTTCTGTAGTGACTGCATCAACGTTACCCACTGTCTTAATAGGATCAAGTCCTTTCTGAGAACTCTCTGTTGCACATCTGCAGAGAGGAGGGAAACACAAATAGGGTGATGTTTTTTTAAAGGTGAAAGAAAAGCCAGAAGCATGTTTGGTATGTGTGGCATATTAAAATGGAAAAGAGCTTGCAGTGTTCACCAAATTAGGTCACTTATCGTTTCAGTGAGGATTGTTGAAGGAAATCTAGCTAGATGCCTCATTCTTCTGTTCACACAGAATGACTTCTTTGATGGGATGAAAGCTGGCCTACCACTGTAATCAAACTTTACAGTCTCCCACATCATACACTCTTTTGAAAAGCCCTGCATAGACAACACACATGCATGAGCTGCTGAGCTGCTGAGTTCTCAACGAGCTTAATCAACTAAGGTATAATGTACTGGTAAGCTTGGTTCTCAGGTAAATATACTATATAATTTAATATGTTTAAGGCATTTATAATCTATAACGTCATAACTGTTATTAATTGGCTTTTCATTATTATAAACTGGACGGAGAAACTGTGGAGAGTCTAGAGTTTTTCATCGACGAGTGTTTTGAAAAAATAGTCATGGGTAAACTGAAACATACCTCCGGCAGCGTAGCTACCATGTCAGTTAGCACGCCTACATCAAAGAGGAATCGCTCGGCAAGATCCGACGATATTTCAAATATTTCTCCAGAAATGACAAGTTTTAAGGACATGCTGGAGTCTATCGATCAAAAGCTAAGCAGTTTAGATAGCCGGCTAGCTTTAGTGGAGGTGCTGCATAAAGAATTCCAGGCTCTGAAGGTATCACTGGAGTTTAGTCAGGAGCAAGTATCTACGCTAGTTAACGAGAACAGAGTTGAAAGGAAAATTGTCTCAAATCACTGAGGGGATGTCACAGCTGTCTGGAGATAATAAAAAGATGAAGGAAACCATCTTAGATATCCAGGCCAGAAGCATGCGGGACAACCTCGTGTTCTCCAGCATCCCTGAGAAAGCTAATGAGTACCCAGAGGCTACAGTCCGGAGCTTCATTCAGAACCAGCTGAAACTCTCCATTGAGACGGTAAACAACATCACCTTCGACTGTGTGCATTGGATGGGAGGTAAGAGACATGACAGCAAACGACCACGGGCTATTGTTGCAAAATTTGAGCATTTCAAACAGAACGAACAGTTTATTAGCTGTGGGAGGGAGCTACGTGGTACTAGCTTCAGTGTTAACCCTAAAGTATACCTCGATCACCGTCGTGTTTTGTTTCCCATCAGAAAAAAGCATCTAGCTGAAGGCTGCAGAGCTACAATAGCAATAGATAAACTGTATATTAATGGCCAGTTGTTTAGAGACCCTGAGATCATTCCTTGGCTGTATTAGATCTAACGTCAAGGTTAGTGAAACTCGGATTTATTATCATTATTTTTATTATTATTTTTATGATTAATATTATTACTACATTTAATCACCTGTTATAATGTTAAGTAAGCACAGTTTGTCGGTGGGTACACATTTGGTGAGCACAGTGGCTACTTTTTGTGTTGGTGGTGGGGGGGGTTCTTTTTCTGTTTTTTTTCTGTTCTTTTTCTGTTCTATTCTGTTCTTTTTGGGGGGTTTTTTCATCTCTTTACTATCACATTATTTTTTTCTCTTATTTCTTTATTTCTAACACCACAATTACTTGTACACAAGCGCACAAACCCACACATGCTCATATTCCATACATCCAAATACTTAATAATAAAACATATGCTTCATTTAACTTCAAACACATCACACACATTTTTATACATCTTACATACTACATAGGTATTCTCAAAATCTTGACTAATCATCACTCACTGTCAATGACTGTCCCTGAGTGTCCCTACTGTTATGATAACGGGCGTGGTTTAATTTTATTCTCACAAATACTGCGATGGGTGATTTAAGGTTTGTCACATGGAATATAAACGAAGCCGGTACCCAACAGAAAAGATATAGAGTTTTTAACCAGCTTAAAAGATTAAAGGCAGATGTTGTATTACTACAAGAAATTCATAAATTAAATTCAACTGTGGATGATCTTAAATCTCCTTAGTTCCCTAACGTATTCTCAGCCTGTTATAATTCAAGACAAAGAGGGGTAGCAATATTAATACATAAAAATATCAACTTCACAGTATTAGATAAAGTTATTGACCCGAAGGTAGATATATAATATTAAAAATTTCTCTATTTAGCCAAAAATACTGTATTGCAAGCATATATGGTCCAAATGTGGATGATACCTCATTTTTTCATGATTTCTTTTCTGTTCTATCAAATCACCTGGATTGCTCACTGCTTCTCGGAGGCGATTTCAACTTAGGTCTAAATAATAACATTGACAGGATGAATACGGCTGGAGCTCAGCACAGTTGGCAATCCACAAACATAGTTAAACAATACATGAGTGATTATGGACTTTGCGATGCATGGCRTGCTCTTCACCCTGACAACAAAGAATATACGTTCTTCTCACATGTTCATCACTCTTATTCTCGCCTGGACTATTTTTTAGTCAGCAGTTCATTGCTGACCAATATTTTAGACAGTGAGATACACCCTATTGCTGTCAGTGATCATGCACCAGTCTCTTTAACCTTAGTTGATAAGAAATAAATAAAAACAAACATAAATTGGAGATTTAATACATTATTGCTCAATGATGAACAGTTTTTAAAATATTTTAAAGAGGAATGGACATCATATCTAGAGTATAATGACTTACCAGGAACATCAGCATCTACTCTCTGGGAGGCAAGATAATATCATACTCAACAAATAAAAAGAAAAAAGAAATTGAACGTATTCACGAACTAGAGGAAGCCATCAAATTGTTAGGAACTTTGCAAGGCGAAGGAACTTTGCAAGGCGAAGAAATACAGCAAAGAATGCAGAAGGCAAAATTACAGTTAAATGAATACATAGACAAAAAAACAAATTCATGATACAATGACTTCGATTAGAAAATTTTGAACATAGTAATAAATCAGGAAGTTTTTTAGCTAACCAGCTTAAAATGAATAAAGAAAAAACAACTATATCTCATATTAAAAACATAACTGGGAATATAGTTTACGATTAGGGAGAAGTAAGTAATGTTTTCAGAGACTTCTATCGAGTTTTATACACTCCGCAGATAAACCCTTCAGATAAGGATATTGAACAATTTTTGGAAAAAGTGTCACTTCCAAAATTATCCGGTAACCAGTCTTTAGAACTAAACTCTCCAATAACATCAGCTGAATTATGTGAGGCTGTTAAAAACATGCCTAACAAGAAAGCTCCAGGACCGGACGGGTTCCCAGCAGAATTTTATAAAGAATTCTGGAATATTCTGGGACCAGTATTTTTCAGAATGCTTCAGGAATCAGAGGAAAATGGCAGGCTTCCATGAATTTGGCCAACATAAGTCTCCTATTAAAACCAGGTAAAGACCCAGTACTACCTGGTGGGGGTGTATTGGGGTTGGGGTGGGTTTCTTGGGGGCTGGCCGCCGGGGGTTCCGGAGCAGGGGTGATGCTGCTCTCGCTCTGGGGAGGGCCTTGGTGGTTCTGGGGGATGTCTTCTGGTGGCTGCATATGGGCCCTTGGGTGGTTTGTAGCGGCGGTCATGGGTCGCTGGTCCGGTTGCCTGGCCGTGCTGGGGTGGGCGCGGGGGGCTTGGGACTCTGGGGGTGTGCCGCCCCTGCGCTGTGGCTCTAGTGGGGCGGGGGGGCTTGGGCTCTGGCGGGCGGGTTGCCGGGCCCTGGGCCGGTGTGTGCCCTGGTGCCCGGCTCTGGGCTGGGGGCCTCTGGTGCGCTGGTGGTCTGCCGTTCTCATGGGCTGTGGGGTAGGGTTGGCTGGGGGCATGACATGGAGCTAGTGGGGGGTCGACCCAGCCTGGATGTCGTTGTGTTATATG